ACCCCTAACCCTAACCCCTAACCCTAACCCTAACCCTAACCCTAACCCTAACCCTAACCCTAACCCTAACCCTAACCCTAACCCTAACCCTAACCCTAACCCTAACCCTAACCCTAACCCTAACCCTAACCCTAACCCTAACCCTAACCCTAACCCTAACCCTAACCCTTAAAACGACGGATTAAGCAAGGGTAATTAACAAAATTATTTTGTACAATTAATTAAATAAAAATTGCAATAACAAATGCTAATTAATTATTTAGCTAAATGCATAAAGTAATTTAGCGGGTGCTGGTTTGCGAAATTACTTTTTGCATTTGGCTAAATAAAACGTTAATAAAATTTAGCATTAATCGAATGGTATTTAACGGGCAATTGGTTTTTGTTGCAAGCATTAACCAAATGGTGCCGTAACCCATTTAAACGTAAAAATTACTTTTGGCATTTGGCCAGGTAAAACGCTAGTGGGATTCGGCACCAATCGAATAGTATTTAGCGGGCGATTGGTTTTTGCTGCAAGCACTAACCGAATAGTGCCGTGCCTTTTTCGGATTGTCGTAAAGCACCATTCGGTGGGTGCCGTGTCCTCCGCCCCCCAAGCGGCGAAAAAAATCGATAAATAAAGCCCGGCAAAAAAAATTATAAGATTTGCAATTAAATAAAAAAGCATTTTATACCCGATGCAAAAAAAAAATCGAAAATATCGCAACAACGAACGGTAAAAATCCGCGAAACGGGGAAATTCCGTTTTTAAATCCGCCTCGACATTTTGTTAAAAAAAAACGGTAAAACAGTAAGGAAAAATAATACTTACGATTAATAAAAAGGCGAAAAGAATGGTAATACGTAATTAACGGGTTTTGGCTGTTAAAAAAAGGATTTAATGTTATAACTAACGGATACAACCGATAAAAAACAAGCGGGCGAAGGTTAACAACCCAAAGGAAAGGGTTACCCCGCACCGTTACGTAACAAGGAAGTAATACGCTTAATATTAAAAGTATTAACAGTATTACCAATACTCGCGATACTTAAAGAATCGCAAGTATTAGCCTTTAAGCAAAGCAAGTACTTAATTTAAAAACAGGGTATAAAAAGGAAGGATTTTTTATTGTTTTAAGTAGTTTTTAACTAAAGCTTCGGCATTAATTAATTTAAATTAGCTTTTAAATAACCTTTAAAGCAAGCATTTAAACCGTACCCAAATTATTTTGTAAATCCCTTTAATTGTTAAACCACGTGCTACTGCTTAGTATTCCTTTAATGCTTTACTTTAAAAGCAAAGGCTTAACTGTAACATTAATACCTTTAATAGTAAGCGTATTACCCGTTTGTTACGTAACGGTGCGGGTTTGCTTTTCCATTTATTTTAACGGTTTTTAACTGCCGGGCTTCCCGTTGGTTATACAAAAAAGAAATTATTTTAATTAAAAAAAGCAAAAATAATAAAAACCTTAAAATAGTTAAGCGTAGTATTCAAAAAAGGAAAAGCGAAAATGATAAAAACCTAAATCGAGTTTAACGTTTTTTCCGTATTAAAACAGCATTAAGCTTTAACATTTAAGCTTAAGCTGAAGAATATAAATAATTTACGTGCAACAGGGTTTGCTAAACTTACCGTTTTAATAAGCTTACCCGTTGCTGAGCGACCTTTTTTAACGAGTTAAATAATCCTTTTTAATCCAACGCTTTTCCCCAAAAGCATTTTTAAAAAGGCGATGCGTTGGGACGAAGTACAAAGTATCCAATCGACTCCGTTTACACACTTGCCGCGCTATTTACCAAGCGGCAAAGGAGCGTTCGGGCAAGGGACTAACAGCGGAAAGAAACCATTCCTGTATTTACGCCCTTCGTTTTTATGTACCATTCGTTGCGTTTATATACAGTTGCTGCAACGACAATATCGCTCCAAACTCGCGTCCCAGCCCAGTCGACACGGGTCCCATAAGCTATAGCTCAGTAAACGATGTTAACCGGCGTCTTAACAAAGCGCGTCAAGCTGGTCTCGCCGTTCATCTTCTGGTACACAGCCTGCACAAAGGCCTGGGCCGAGAGGTCGGCGCCGCGCGGGCCCGTGTGCGTCCGGTCCTGCGGGTACAGGGCGTTAACGGCGCTGTTGCCCATCTTGCGGTACATGTTGCTAACGGCCTGGTTGTGGTTAACAAAGGTGGCGCGCGAGTCGGCCAGGGCGCGGTGCGCCCGGCTCATGTAGTCGACGAAGCGGCTCGGCTCGCCGTTGTACGTGCCGCCCTCCCACTGGTTGCGCGGGGTCTGGGCGCTAAGCACGACGTTGGCGCCCTTGGCCAGCATGAGCTTGGCGCCCTGGATGACATAATAGGGAAAGGTGTAGACAGTTTCGCCCGTTTTGTCCGAAACGCACGTCTCAGTGCCGGTGCCCGGGCAGGCCGAACGGCCGTTGTCGTTGGACCGGGGCGAGCCGCCGTCGTTGTGGCCGAACTCGATGACGACGACGTCGCCGGCGCGCGCCGCGTTGGCCACGTCGCGGAACCGGCCCTCGTTCCAGAAGGAGCGCGCCGACCGCCCGCCGATGGCGCGGTTCTCGACCGTGGCCGTTACATACCCGGCCAGGTAGTTGCCCCAGCCGTCGATGATGCCAGCCGTGTTGCGCGCCATGGTGCTGTCGCCGCAGAGGAAGATGCGTGGGGCCTGCCGGGCCTCGAGCGCGTCCGCCGTGGCTGCCTCGGGGGCAGTCGGCAGGGCGGATGCGCCAAAGGACCACGCGAGGGCGATGGCCGTGGACAGGAGGGTGAGTCTCATGGTTGCGGTTGGGGATGGTGGTGCGGTGGACTGGTGCTGTCACGGACGGCGGCTTTTCGTCTTGCTCGCACTGCGCCCAGTCGAGCATTTATAGGAAATTTCGGGCAAAAGGAGACAGGTGTCGGCATGTGTCGACACGCTGCCCCCATGTCACATCAGGCATCGACACAAACAGGGTCTACCTCGCCGCCCAGTGCCAATGGCGAGCTTGGAATGGCACGGATCGAGCAGCTGCCCCTTAACCTTCCTCTTCTGGGCGGCGATGGTACCTTGCCAATGCGTTTCCCCCGCGCGAAGTGGGACTGCCGGATATTTCTCCGCCGCCATAACCATATTGGGAACGGTCAGTCGAGCGCCGCGGCTGCAGAACAACATGCTTTTATTTTCCGATGGCAATAAACAAATGCAGGGACAGCCCGTTTTTCGTGGGCTCCGCAATCTATGGCTTGTCCCAGGCCAGACATTTCACGGCAACCTATTGCTGCTACTAGTAATCATTGCTCATCCACATGGCGCTGCTCCAATGTCGAGAAACGCAAGCTACTTGTCCTTCTTTTCCAGCTCCCCCCACAGCCAGACGGCTATTTCGTGATAGCCCCAATCCCTCACATCCTTGCCCTTGGGTGTGGCACCCTTGCTCCCGCTAAACCAGCCCGCCACCGTGCCAGCTGCGCCATAGGCCGCGTTTGTGATGGGCCATCGCTTCTTTGCCGCGACGCCCTCCAAGCGCTTCTTGCGAGCTTCGTACAAGGGCTTCCATTCCACCAGCTGCTCCTGTGTCTTGATAAACAAGCGCTCCCACACCCCGACCTGCTCCTCTGGAAGCTCCAATGGGCCGTCGTCACGCACTATCGCTTCGTGCCTCCAAACCCAGCTCGTCTGGGTCTCAGGCAGCTTTACGACATGAAGCTCTTCGACTGGCTGCTGCACGCGGATGCTGCGCGCGTCCGGCTCCAAGGTGGCCAGCTTGGCCGACTCGGCATCGTTGCGGTGGCTAACGACCCTGCCCCCGACAGTTTTGTGCGTGCGGTTCGCTCGCCACTCTTCCGGGCTCTCGTTCACGGTCCTGGGCTTCGGCTTTCCAATCCTCTTTTCCAGAATATACCCATTTTTAAAGAGCGCGGGGCACGTGTACGGACCCGCCCCGTCCGGCCCTTGCCCGCCACACTGGTACCGGATCCTAACCGACGGGTGGACCAGCTCCTCTGACCTGGCCAGGAACGGCTGCTTTTTCTTCTGCTGCCACGTTGCCCATCGCTTTAGCCACTCGGTCCAGCCCTCCTTGGGTGCGTCGCAGCTGTACAGTCCCGGTGTGCGTGGGTCTGGGCTCCTGTCAGGCTTGACTACGCTCCCCACGACCTCGAGCGTGGACGTTTTAAGGGGCGGGTTGTGAATGGGGCCCATGGACCACTGCTCGGGCACCGAGGACGAGGCCAGGTCGTAAAAGACGCGCTGGAACTCGGGCCTGCTGAACTCGACGCCGACCGAGGTGAGCTGGTCCGCCATCCAGGCCAGCGAGATGTTGGCCGACTGCTCGTCCGCCCAGCCGCCGCCGACGTCTCCGTGGTTGCCCGCGAACCAGACTTGGCGCAGAACCGTCTTGGATACCTCGGGAAGCTGCCAAAGCGTCGGGCTGAAGGCGGTGCGGTACTCGTCGAGGGCCAGGGCGTGGAAGGCGAACTGGACGTTTGCGTGCATCTCGAGGCTGGCGAAACGGATCTCGTTGTTACTACGGCCGGCGTCGCGACGCAGAGGTCCCTTGGGGACGCCCAGGCTGCCGACCGTGTCCCAGACCCCGACTGCCTTGACATTTCCCTGGACGGGAACCCACTTGATCCTGCCGTTCTCTTGGGGAACCTTGGTCGCAAGGACGAGCTGTTGCTGGGCAAGCTCCTCCAAGTACAGCTTGGCAATCGCTGAGCGATTCTCTGCCTTTTTGATCTTGGTCCAAAGGGAGTCCTTCCTTGCTTCCAATCCTGTGGCAAGTTCTGACTCGACCTGTTCGGCGAATGCCTTGGCCGACGTCCCGGCCTCGGCCTCCGCCAGGCTTTTTCCGAACGAGTCCCGGCCGGGCCGTGGAGGCCGAGGCTTGTTGTTGTTGTTGCCGGCGCCCTGCTGGTCCTTGCCGGGCTCATCTAGCGTGCACGTTGGGTTGTAATTGTCAAGGGAAAATCCAAGCAGGTGCTTGGAATCGTCTCGCTTTTTTTCGCCAACCCAGTCTTCCCAGGTGCAGTAGTCGTGGAAGATGCCCGCCAGGTTGTCGAGGCCGGCGCGGTTGAGGAAGCCGAGGTTGCAAATCATGTCGGCCACCGAGCGCGCCGTGAAGGCGCCTCTCGAAAAGCCGACGAGCACAATCTCGTCGCCGGGGTTGTAGTTGTCGCACACGAAGCGGTACGTTTCGGCCACGTCCTGAACGACGCCTTGGCCGAGGAAGCCGCCGAGGAAATGCGCGAGAGCGCTGGCTTCAGTGCCGGCGCCAGGGTGGTAGTACACGACCTGAGGCATGCCCGAGCAGCACTTGTGCGCGACGGCGCTGGCAAGGCGGCTCACGTTGGTCGAGGGGTCCTTGCCATCGTTGCTGCAGTGTTATCTCGTCAGGAAGATGCCGGGGGTTTGGTCAGCAGGGGAGGGGGCTCGTACGAATTATTCCAGGTGCCATCGCAGCATATAACCAGGCGCTTGGGGTTTAGGAAGGTGTTCGACAAGTGGGCGCAGGGAATGTCCTTTTTGAGAATCACGTTTGCGGACTCCATGGCGAGGCGACGGTGCTAAGAGCTGTGCTGGGAGAACCGTTTGCGATGATGCAGACAAGACATGCACGGTGGGCCCTGGTGGCCGTCCTGGTCTTCTTGTACCACGGGAGGAAACGCCATCACTTGCGAGACGACATGGCGCCTGGGCATTCGGACAATAATGGCGGATTCTTTTCCAGCTTGATCCGCCACGTTTGGCTAGAGCAGCCGAGGTCGCGAAACTAGCCGGCTCAGCTTTCAGCTCCTCGCAATGGTCGATTCCTCAGCCCAACCGGGGTGGCTTCCAGTAGCTGTCTAGCCCCGAACACATGTCGGGCCGTTCCGGTATGTCCATACAGTTTGAGGAAACCAGCTTGACTGCGAAAACCAAAAGAATAGAGCTGCTGGAAAGGCGGCACGGTTCCCTCCAAAGCAGGTCTAGGCCTTTCGACGTCGGCAAGATCGGCATGGTCCCGGTCCCACATGCCGCAAGGGCAGTAAGTCATCATGCGCTGCACCCCTTCCATGCTGAGCCCTTTGAGGCACCAGCAACTTGTCGACAGCAACACTAGGAGCTCCCAAGGGGCAGCCGCCAATCCCCGGTGCCGCATGCTGGCCACATTGGGCCGTGGACTTTCAGCTGCCCTTGCAACACTTCCCGGCAAAGCAAAGTAAAGTCCGAACCCGCAGGCGCTGTTCTTGTTGACGCACTTAACAAAACATGGAGTGGTGGTGCTGCTGATTCCGCTTTGGGCATCGACCTCGGAGACCTGCGCCGTGGACAGCGCCAGGGGAAGCGAAGGACATGTCTGGAGTGGTCGAGCCTGCGAGCCATGGCGGCGGGACTCTTGCGACTCCCTGTGACGAGCGGGATGATTACTGATCCCTCGCGAACGACGTATTTATCCAAACCAACTAACTAGTAAAACCCTCGGGTGCGTTGGCGAGGTACGGACTAAAGTTGCTAGTAACGTTTTAAGCGTCGGTACCCATCTGCAAGACATTTTTTTGGTGCCATAGCCAGAATTCCTCCACCGAGTACCGTGCAAGACGCCGGAGGCACCACACGATGCGGTAGATGCCGAGGACGCTGGTGGTGTCGCCTATCGGAAACTCGGTCCACAGCGTGGTCCCCGACTCGGTCCCGTCCTTGTCGTCTCCCGTAGTCGTACTGCTCTTGGTTGTAGCCGCGAACTTCCACTCGTGCCCTACAATGTAAATGGCCGGCAGAAAATCCAAGCCGTTGAGCGACGTGAGCTCCGGACCCGAAGAAGGCGAATCGGAAGGGTTTGGCTCCTTGGCCAGCGGGGGCACGGCGCCGCTGCGTTCACTCCTCGTCAGCATTTCGAGCATATTCCATTGGGCAGCCTGCCAAATGCCCAGCTGGATCTCGGCGTTTTCGACGGAGCCGCCTAGGCGCTTAGTTTCGATGCTGATGGCGATGGGCCGGTCGGCCAGCGGGTGGTAGCTGGTGTGGTTGATAGATAGCCCTGGGAGCTGCCGGCACACCCCTTTAATGGCGCGCGAGGCCGGCGTGGATTCGAACCGTGCACGGGGCCAATGCGGGTTGATGGTGATGCAAAAGTCGACCCTTTTCCCCCCCGTCTGGCGCGAAGCGCTGGTGGGGAGAAATTGCCGCTGGATATCCGCAGTTGTGCTGCGGCCGAACGTTAGGCCGGATTAACATAACCAACGGTGGGGAAGCGTAGTAAGTAGCGAAGGGAAGTGTGTTTGTTTACTTACCACGGCGCAATATCAACCTGGCTCCCATCCGGAATGGCCAACCGCAAAAGGGGGTAGTGAACGGCTACGTTCCAGCCGGCCTCGTCCCATCCCCTTTCCGCATATTCAGCCGCCTTGTCTAACACGCGGAGGATGTCGGCCAGGCTCGGCGACTCTTGGGCCTCGAACCGGCCCTGATCCTCGGGCGGGTCAAAGAAGGCCGTGTCTCTAATGACCTCGATTCCCGGAAGGGTGGCTGCTTGGATTTCGCGCCGGCGAGAGGAAGAGACGACGGCACAGCCCGAGGTTTGGAGCTCGGCGAGAAGCGCCCGAAGCCCCGACGGCAGCATGCAGCTCATGTGGCCCATGCTGGCGAAGTTTTGGATGTTAACCCCATCTGGCCCGAGCTCCATCTCTCTCCTCCTCTTGCGGGCCGACGACGTATAACTGCCGGTGATCCGGCTGCGGCTGCTACCCGCGCTCATCTTGTCGGAAGAAGCCGTCGAGCCGTCTCGGGAAAGTTGGCGTGATCGCTGGAGGAGGAGGAGGCTGGCCCGCGGCGTTTTGTCGTTGGCGCCGCCGCCTTTGTTTTGTCGCTTCGCATTCGGGGTTGCTTCGCCGCAGGATTCTTGGCTCTCGTCCATCTTTCGTCCAATCGAGGTCCGCGACACGGTCCGCGATAGGGGCGGTGTGCGGAAATCGCTGCGGTGGTCGGCCCCTTTCCTTTTCTTGCCGCAGTAGCCGGTTGCGGCCTCCTTTCCTTGGGCGTCCTCGACCCTTCGTCTCTTGCGGTCGAGGGCGGGGGGGTCGTCTGGGGGGGGGTCAATGTCGTTTGCGCCGGGGCCGTCGGGGATCGCGTCGAGCCACTGCAGAAAGTCGGTACAGCGCATAGGAAGAGGATTTGCGGATTGTCCGCAGTATTGGAATTGAAGGTCGTTGATGGAGGCTGTTGAGGTTGTTTGGTTAAGCGCCAGGCAAGTCGTTGCTAGAGGTAATAATGTTGCTTGGCTCCAATGGTGGTTCGTGCAAAGAACCACGCGCGAGCGACTGGGTTGCTCTACCGGCGGACCCACTTGCCCGTGTCCTCGAGTAGTTAGCTTAGCCTAAGTGGGCAAAAACCTTAAACAAGGTAGGAGCTTAAAAAATCCCTTAATTTGGTTAAACAACCCAATTTTTCCTCCCACTTTAGCTAAAGTGTTTATCAATTGCATATGCAATGTATATGGAACTTTTAATAATATTAAAATTAAAATAAATAATAATAATAAATTGAAATTAACAATGCAATAAAATAAAAATGATAAATAAAAATAAAAAATGCAATAAAATAAAAATAATAAATAAATATAAGAAATGATATTAAATATTTATATAATTAAAAAATTATTAAAATTAATAAAGTTTAAAATTTAAAACACATACGTTTTATATACGTTTGCATATGCGTTGTATATGCAACGTTGGCTAAGGTTTTAGGGTTCACTTTTCCCCACCGTGTTCGAGGTTTTCACTTACTTTGCTTGAGCTATCCCCTTTTTTCCTCGTGTTTGCCGTAAGGGTACAACTTTAGGAATCGGCGAGGCGAGCACCCTTCCCTCGCTGTTGCAGTACATGTTACTTTCCTTCCTGTCTTCCCTTGGAACCTTTCCTCTTATCCTATTAACGCTGGGTATTTCCACCCGTATTAAAAAATAAGTATGGCTTGCCCAGCAACGGGTGGGCCCACCAAAGCGGCAGGCCTGGCATGCTTGCCGCACCTCAGCACGAGCAGCCACCAAAGCCTCTCAATCCTTGCTTGTGGCTGCCGGGATGACAGTGCGCAGGCTCTTGCGCGAGCCAAGCGTGGAGTGGTTGTTCCCCTCCTCCTCAACTACCGGCCTTCCCCGCGCCAACAGCCGGCACGCACATAATCCCAGGAGCCCACATGCGCGACGAGTCGGCCCGCGAGGCATCTTCCCCTTGAAACAAGATGGCGGCGGGTCTGATGCCCAAGCACTTGGCCTCAGGGTCACATCGGCCCAGGAGACATGGCCAGAGATTGGCGCGCCACTATGCACCCCACAAAGATGGCGCTCTCGGGCAACTTGGCAGGGTTGAACGTTTCCATCCTTTGTTTCCGCGTTTGGCCACATGGCCGCGATACCCTGGTGGCGTTTGCGCAGCAAGAGATAAAAACTCGGGCCAGAGATGATTCCAGATGTTGCGTGAAGCTGACGAGGTGCATGTCAGCCTTGCTCACCGCTTGCAAACCTCGCCATCATGCTTCCCCATACACTCTTCTGGTCCGCCTTTGCCCTCGGTGCCTGCGCCCCTGGTCCTCGTCAGACAGGCGCTGTTGCTCGAAGCATCCAGCGCGACGACTTGGAAGGCTATGCATTTCTCTACTTCACTGGCAGCGACGAGCAAATCTACCTCGCCGCCAGTAACGGCAACAATGCCCTGTCCTTCACCGAGCTCAACGGGGGCAAGCCCATTTTCAAGTCTGCCTTGGGTGACAAGGGCGTCCGCGACCCCTTTGTGATGCGCTCGGTCGACGGCTCCAAGTTCATCATCCTAGCCACCGACCTCTGCATTGGCTGCGGCATGTCTTGGGGCGACGCCCAAACGCGAGGCAGTCGTCACATCGAGATCTGGGAATCCCCCGACCTCGTCACCTTTTCAGCCCAGCGCCACGTTCTCGTGTCGCCCGAGGCCTACGGCAACACCTGGGCCCCCGAGGCGTACTGGGACGCCGAGCTCGGCACCTACGTGGTGTACTGGGCCTCGGGCATCTACGACGACAGCCCCGAAGGCGGCAATCCAGGCCGCGCGAGGATAACATACCAGCGCTTGGTTTACGCCACCACCGACGACTTTGTCACCTTTTCCGATCCGCATGTTTGGCAGGACGAGCCCCCGCATGGGCGCATCGACTCGACCGTCATTCGCAGCAACGGCACCTACCACCGCTTCACCAAAGCCACCACGGCAAACGGCTGCGCCGACATTGTCCAGGAGAGCAGCCCGTCGCTGACGGCGGGCCTGGGTTCCTGGACGCGCGTCGCGAGCTGCATCGGCAAGGGTGCCGGCACGCGCGATGTCGAGGGCCCGTCCATCTTCCAAACGAACCCAGGCGACGTCGGCGGAGGCGGGCGCTACGTGCTGCTGGTCGACGAGTTTGGCGGCGACGGTTATGTGCCGCTCGAGTCAAACGACCTGGCCTCGGGCCGCTGGACGCTGAACCGCAACTTTAGCTATCCCAAAACGCCGCGGCATGGCACCATCATCCCTTTAACGGCGGCCGAGCTGGAACGCATCAAGATCGCATATGCGGCGTAAAGGATTTAAAGGATAATTTAGCTAGCAATTAAGTATCTTGTGTATGGGATTGAAAGTGACAGTGACCAAGCCAGTGGATGCGACTCCGGCCCGACTTTTACAGCTTTGGCTGCCTACGAATCGCGCTTGCAGCGACGACGGGTACTGCCCGAATAAGCTACCACTTGGACGCTCGGCTTCAACCAGCACGGTCCGATGGTGTAGTCGGTTATCACGTGAGCTTAACACGCTCAAGGTCCTCAGTTCGATCCTGGGTCGGATCATGGTTACTTTTTGGTTGCTGTGTTGTACTTGTCCACAGTTTCCGGCTCCTTTTCTTTTGGCTAGTTTTTTTTTCTCCTTATTTAAACAAAATACGCCAGAGCGTCGCATGATATGGTGTGGCAGAAAAGAAAAAGCACGGAGGGTAAGTAAAATTGGAAAGAAATAGGAAATTGTTGCTACCACCGTGGCTAAGAATTGCTTTTACAATATTTCCACAATCCAAAAAGACCACCAAAACCTAGTCGTACCACACCACATTGGCACAGCATCCCCCGTCGGCAATGTCAACCTTGGCCACCGCCTCGGCGCCCGTGTACTCGACCCCCAGCTCCGTTTCGTTGCGCCCCGTCATCCGCCACATTTGCACGTAGCCGCGGGGCACGTCGGTCATGGCGGCCCACTCGTCCCCAAAGGGCGCCGGGCTGATGGCGTTGGCGTAGCCGCCCGTCGTCGTCGTCTTCTCCTGGAACATGTGCTTGGCGACGCGGCCGTCGCCGTCCAGCAGGAACCCGTTGACGTAGCCGTGGTTGGTCGTGTTGACCCACGCCCGCGCTGTCGCCCACAGGAAGCGCGAGTTGTGCGAGAGCATCACCTCGGCCGACCAGTACTGCTTGTCTGTCTGCGTAATGTCTGGGAGGGGGAGTCAGTCTGGTGTGTTTCTTCTCCGTCGGCATCTGGGCCCGGGGGATCATCTCACTCTTGGGCAAAAGATAATACGACGACTCCTCGGCCGTGGGCACGCCCGTCTTGGCGTCCAGCGAGTACGCCGTCAGCCGGTTGGCCGCCTCCATCAGCACGTAAAGGTAGGTGCCGTTGGGGTGCGCGGCCAGGTGGCGCGGGTGCGAGCCTTTGGCGACGGGTAGCCTGGCCAGCTCGGTGACGATGCCCGTGGGCCCGTCCACCTTGTGCGTCCAAACCGAGTCGCCGTTGAGGTCGGCCGAGTAGATCAGCTCGTTGTCGCGCCTGCCGAAAGCCAGGCCATGCACACCAGAGGCCGCCAGGTAGCGCCACGACTGCGTGTTGCGCGTCACGGCACCCGTGCCACCGCCGCCAGACGAGTTGACCGCCAGCGCCGCCCCGCACGCCTCCGGGCCCGGCCACGCCGCCGTGTAGACGCGGTACGGCGGCAGGCTGCTGGCCTGCACAAACGCCGACGTCTTGCCGGCACAGCTGCCGTTGAAGGCGAGCCTGCCAGCCAGCGCGAGGTCGGTGCCGTTCCCGCGCACCTTGTAGCTGGCGATGCGCGGGTCTTGGAGCGACACGCCGTACAGGTAGCTCTTATCGTGGTTGAGGGCGATCCAGGCGTGCGGGGCTGAGGCGCTTATGTTGTTGACCACGGCCAGCTCGTGGCTAACGTCGTCGAACCGGAGCGAGTACGCGCGGGCGGGCGGGGCGAGGTTGCCCACATACATGTGGTGCACCGCGCCGAGGACGGCGGCGGGGAGGAGGAGGAGGAGACCGGCTGTTGATGCGCCCATCCTGTCTGCCCGTCTGATTGTGCGCACTCCTACAAGCCTACACGCTCTCGCACACAGGGAATAGCCCCCACACGGAGCTGACGATAACAGGGGAGATGGGAGGAAACAGACGGGGCAGCCAGGAACGGGGGTTCGTCCTTCGTCTCTTGTCGTTTTGTACGTGCTGTCTAGTCGTCATGTCGTCGCATCGAGCGTACCATGCCTTGCATGCTGACGTTGGATATGCACGCCGGCAATTCTCGCCAGGGGCAGCGGCTGAATACGGACAGGGCCCGGACGCCTTCATCATGCCGCCAGCTTGGCGGGAAAGGACATGCGAGCGCGGCTCCGTGCACGAGGGTCAGGCCACTGAGGCCAGCCGAGTCCGGAACCCTAACATGACCGACAACACTTTCACCTGGCTAAATACCAAGGTCGTGGCAATGGGACGTTGGGGAGTAGTGAGGGGTAAAGGGAAACCCTCATTAATATCGTAGTATTACAACCTCTGCAAAACTTGCCGTTACATCGAAAGGAACATCATTACCTCCCCCGCCCGCAGCCTGCTTCGCCAGATCCGTTTATCCCGACTCCAATCCCAGCAAAACCGACCAGCTCCCATATTTCTAAACCCCAAGTCCGCCCGTTCTATCCAGTTCTATACTTGGTGCCCATGCTGCGTCTTACTCTTCCATATACAAGTGATACACAGCCAATAGCAGAGATGTATCCTGCCCGCCTATCCGGTAGTGGAAAAGATCTCGATGGTGACGTCCCCTCCACACGGCGCGTCGGGGTTGCCGGAGCACCGCGTTGCCAGGGGCAGCTGGCAGAACTCGTCGGCCAGCGGGGTGGCGTTGTTCATCTGGTTGTCGCACCAGCACTCGCGCCCCCACTCGACCCCGGCGTAGGTAAAGCCGTTGACGGCGCACGAGTAGAGGCACACGTCCTTGGTCATCGAGTTGCTGTCCCAGCCCTGGCTCAGGATGCGGCCGCCGCCGGGCTCACGGAAGCAGCCCTTGCGGGTAAAGGCGCCCGTCACCTCCGAGGCCATGGGGCGGCCGGGCACCGAGTACGCCGGGCCCGAGGCCGTGTACAGGTTCAGCCTCAGGTTGCCGCCGCACATCTCGTCGGGCTTGCCGCTGCAGGGCGTGGAGCACTCGGCGGAGCTGCCCACGGGGAACGCGCCCGCGACGACCTCGTTGCCGCAGTAGCACTCGGACGCGTACTCGACTCCGTAGTACGTGTAGTCCCGGCAAAAGTCGGCACACATTGCCACGGTCATGCCGGCGTCGACAGTCGAGGGGCCCTGCAACGCACGCTTGCCTTCGGGCTCCTTCCAGCAGTTGTGGGTGGCCGTGGGGCCGGCCGGGGCAGAGGAAGTGGAAGTGGAAGAGGTGGAATCGGCGGACGTGACAGAAGTCGAAGTGGACGAGGTGGTAGAGGCAGAATCGGTAACAGTGGCCGAGTCGGTAATGGAAGCCGAATCAGTAGATGAAGTGGATGTAGAGGCAGCATCCGAATCTGCAGATGTCGAGGACGAGGACGAGGAGGAGCTAACAGACTCCGTCACGCTGGGAGACGACACGGAGTCGGTCTCGGAGGCAGAGCTGCTGCTCGTGGTCGTGTCCGTCGGCGTGACCTCAGCGACCCAGTTGGTGTGGGTGCGGGTGACGGTCGAGTGCGGGACGCAGTGGCAGGCGCTCGACACGCGCTCCTCCTGGTACGTCATGGGGAACCTGGTGTTGAACAGGGGCGACGGGTAGGAGCGAGAGGCCGCCTGGTCCATAGGGATGGACTCGGCGGCGGCGGTGATGGTGGCCGTCACGACAGGGCCGGCAAAGGTGGCACAGAACTCCTGCGCCTGACTGCTGTACTGGGCGCCACGGAAGCGGTTGAGGAGGTTGTCACCGTTGCATCCCTTCTGACGAGCCTGGATACTGTTGCGGACCGGGTTGCCTTGGGCAAGAGCCGCCAGGACGGCGAGGAGAGCTACTTTGGAAAGCATGGCGGCACAGGCTAGGGGGTTTAAGCGAATGGAGGATAGCTGTATGTGCAGGAAGAAGAAGGAGTGACTGCTGCGGGGTAAAGCTTCCAAGTGGCTAAAGGAATGGCTGCCGAGTATCCTGTTGGAGGAAGGTCTGCGGCGAAGGACTCGGTGGTGGTGGAGGGTAACAGGAAGGCAGCATGGTGGAATCACGACGAGTCTTTATGTCGACCGGCTTGGTTGTCGACACAGCCTCCGCTCGACAAGCTCTCTCGGGCACGGCGTGCCGTCAATGACTGACTGGCAGGGGCGTCGGCCGTACCTGTGGATCATGATGCCGGATGTTTTGCTTCGGATGCCCGGTTCAGGTACCAAGACACACAATCCGCCTCCTTGCAAGCTGGCCGCGTTCACAGCTGGCAGGTCCAGCTCGCTGCGCATGTCGGGCATTGTCCAATCGGGAGCGGCGACAAGCAGCCCCCCTCAGCCGCTCTCCCTTGCAGCTGCGTTAATAACGACAGGGGCAGCGTACGCGAAGGAGATGAGGCTCGGCCCAGGCGGCCGGTACTGGCGTGATGTTCTTGTTGACTTGGAAGGGAGCAAGCCGCAGGCCACAAGCTGCGGGCCTGGACGAGGCCAAAAGGGGTTCGACGCGGGGATAACACACACAAAAGCAATGTGCGTAGCTTGTCTCATGCTGGCAGTGGTGCATTGACTATGACAAGGTACCTAGACCAATGCATTGCCTCTCAGCTGGCCTCGAAAGGGCTGAACTAGCTAGCTTGATAGCTTGCGAGCGCGTGGAGTGCCTGTCAAGGAGGCAGCATGATACCATCAAGCATTAGACCAGAACATTTGGGCGATGGGACATGGGCTAGCGCGGAAGTAGAGGGCTGACGGCAAACCTAGATCGTGGCTATTCCTAGTGCGGCTGAAAGAAAAGCAAATCGATGTCGACATGCCCAGACGAGCGGATTGCGACAGATGAAGGGATAGAAGGTGCGTAGGAAATAACAAAAAAAAGCAGCAAAGCAATGCGTGGTGTGACTGGCTGCAGTGCCTCCTTCTCTCGTGGTTTGGACAAGATTGGAGGCCCGTTGGTCGACACAGACCTCCTCGACTAGCAGGGGTTACGGCAGCTGCAGCCTGCCACTGCCACTGGGGCTTGGCTTCCACTGCCAACAGTGTCGCTGTTTGTCCAGATATGCTGCTCGGAGATTAGTGTCTCAACTTGTTTCCTCGGTAGATGCTGAGATGATATCTGGAGGCAGGCAGCAGCCGAGGCACTGAATCCAGTACACCGAATCAGGGGTGGACAAGCTGCAGGGCTCGAACGGCCTGTTCTCAATGCCGGCTGACATGAATCCTGATTGCAAGGTAACGTTGCGGGGAGTGTGCATCCACATAATGGCTACGACAAAGGACACCACGAGAACTGTCGTGATGTGCCTCAGCGGCTCACCAAGTAGTCGACGCCAGGACAGCGTTTTTGTAGCCGCCAGGATGTCCGCCAGACTTCACGAAGGCTCTCCAAAGCACTGCAAGGCTCAAGCCATGCTGGAAAACCCCCTCCCGTCTTCATGGCTAGCCCGGCCTCGGACCGAGCCTGGGACGATAGCCTTCCACGTAACCACGGGACGGCAGCTGTTTGTTCAAGCTAGAAATGCCATCCCCTCGTTGCTCTGCCGCCATGCTCTCCCATGGTGCTCCTCTGGTGCTCCCACAAAGTGCTCCAGCGAGTCCAGCCTCCTCCACCTGCATCCCTCGAAATGTCCAACTTTTCCTTTACAGCTCCCTCAGCGACGTCAAGTCCCGAGGCTGCCCCCATTTTCTCTCGGACCCACTTGATATCCACACAACCAAAGCTAGATATCTAGAGGAGGCGTCGAAGTTCCTGTCATCGGCTAGATTAGCAACCCTCGAGCTTACTTTGTTATCCTTGGGATTCTGAGTAATCGGGACATACGTGTAGGCGATCCCAGCTGCCACTGGTGTTCCCACCGTCGTGCGGCGAAAGAAGCACGCCAGCCAGCTGCTTCTTTTTTCGCTGGAGCTTCATTATCTCCTGGCAGTGCAAATTGTGAGCTAAATGCACCCCCGCCTTGGAACCAAGAAGACACCCCCCATCCGCCAACGCCATTAGGCTGTCACTTACCTCCTCAAAGGAGTCCCGGATGTAGAAACGAACCGTCGTTACTTCCTTTTCCTGGCCAATGCGGTGGATCCGTGCGAGGGCCTGGTCCTCCAGAGTCGGATTCCTGGAAAGGGATGTTCTTTGTCAGATCGACGACTTTGTCAAAGCGTAAGCCTTCGTCCTTTCAAGGCTTTGAACTTGCCAGTGCGGCTCCATCAAGTAAGCTCTAGAAGCCACCGTGAGAGTTAGCCTGTTGAGAAAGTCGGTTAGCCAAGTTCCAAGAGACCGAGGTAAAAGGCAATGCCCCTTTATGCAGTATCCCCCTTCGAAGAGAACTACCGTACCCTACTGCACCACATGACAAAGTTAAAAGCATCACGCGGACATTCCCATTGGCCTTGAACTTCTCAACGACGGATTTCCTGTCCCTTTGCTGCACCTTTCCGTCGAAACGGACGACACCGATTTTTGCCTGCCGCAGGCCCCTCTCGATAACATCGAGTGTCATTCTCCAGCTAGAGAAAACGACGCTGTCCAGCCGGTTTCCCGGTCATAGGTGTTAGAGAGAGCTTCGAATGATAGTAAGCCCATGAGAGAGGCAAGATACTCACCTCTTGGTATCAAGAGGCAACTGTTTCAGGTCATCTATCAGTGCCTTCACCTTAGACGGGAGCTCGCTTGGCTGGAAGTCGTGCAAGTCCGATGGCGTAGTTTCCGGTAGGTCCTCCCGGTCGGTGCTGCTGATGGAGATCTCGGCTGAATGGCAGGAAGGCGAGTGGCCACAGCCGGGGCCCCGGTCGGTCGGCTTTAGCTTGTTGGTGCAGTCCGAGCACAGGTACTTGAGGCAGCTAAAGAGCAGCGCGGTAGTTCTATGCGGGGAAAATGGATCCTCGAAGGCAACCTCTGCTGTATCGAAGGTGTCGGCGCACTGCAAGCAAACCATGAGTCGTAGGTCGCGCTCCACGTTGAAGGCTCTCTGTGCTAGGCCTGCCCACTTGGCTTTGGATGTCATCGTGGATGCCGCGTCCGTGTCCTCAGGATCCTTTCGCGTGTGGTATTGGGTGCCTAGGTTACAGATAAGGCGGAGTGATTCGATTTGCTGGAGAACGTTGACGTAGAACGTGGATCTGGACAGCTCCGACCCCTGATGGAAAGCTTCGTCAATCTTGGTAATAAGCCGCTCGCTCGCTTGCTTGTAAAGCTCTCGCTCCGGACCTAGGAACTCCACGGGGCAAAGAGTGTCGCGCCGAGCCGGAAGACTGATGGTGTTTGGGGGCCGTCTGAGGAGGAGGCAGGAGGAGAGCAGCGTCAGCCTTTTGACAGCTTCGTCCTCCCTCCGATCTCTCCAAAGCTGGGAAATATCGACGTCGAATCGTTTGGGATCTGTGTAGGGGAACGCTCGGATGAATCGAAGCAGACTGGCGAGGTCTATAAGGCGGTTCTGGATCGGCGTTCCGGTTACGGCCCATCGAGAGACTGCGTCGAGATCGCAAACGGCCCGGGTCATCCGCGATGAACCGTTGCGGATGAAGTGTGCTGGTAAATTCATATTGCATCATAAGCTTCGTATGCGGTAGGGAGGGTAGTTTCCACGGGAGCCACATCTTACCTTCATCCAGGATAATTCTTCGCCACCTGGTCGAAAAGAGGATGGAGCTTTGCAGTGGGCCGGTTGGCCTCCACTCAGCGGACACCGTGTGGTACGTGGTGAGAACGACGTTCACGCCTCGGATATTAGATGGCTCGGACAATCGTGTTTTTGCGTGATGGCGTCGGCAGACCAGCCTCCCAGCGAAAATATGCCTACGTAATGTTAGCTTAGGTGAGTGCTGACGCCTCAGTTGTATGAAGCTTCCAAGCACGCACCTTGATATCTCGTTTTCCCAAGTATCCAGAACTGTAAGCTTTTCCTGTCAGTCTTCGGCCGTTTGTTAAGGTAGGAAAGGGGAATGCGTGCATACGGGGAGGCGGGACTACCACGAGCGTCGCAGAATCCATGTTCTCCTTGTCTTCGATGCCCACCCACGTCGACGCAATATCCAAATCGGACGCCACGAGAGCGATCATGGTCAAAGTCTTCCCCAGGCCCATAGGATCTGCCACAATGCCTCCACGGAAATCTGCTGGCTCTTGGGTCTGGTAAGAGCCCGAGACTCGATTGATGAACCTAGAAAGTATTAGCTCTGTAAGCAAAAGGAAAATTGCGTGGGGGAACGGTGCGGATGTGCTGAGCGGGCATACATGCGGCCGTGATCGCTATCAATTAGCTCCCACATATCCCCTTCTGTCTCAGCAAAGTCCCAGCCCTTCTCGCGACGGCACATAAACGTCAAGGCCTGCCGCTGATGTCTGAGTCAAGAGGAGAGTTACCAGTCAGCCTACTTGGAATGATTGAGTTGTGGGACAGTTTGCTCACTTTTGCAAGGACGCTCGAACGGCCGAAGGCGCCGGGGCCTCCTCGAGGTTTATATGGCTGTTGATAAAGTCCAGGATATCGGGTAGTTGAGGGAGCTCCTGTAACTGGAGGGGCTTGCTGCTGCTGGATACCAGCTTAGATAGCATGGGGCATGCTCTGAGATCGGATGAGCTCGAGGATAGCTTGTGTGGGTTGCAGTACACAACATCGAGATGGCAGACTAAAGGGTCTTGCAGGTAGATGTCATGCCCCTGGGCCCATTCTCCGATCTCGTCAAACATTTCCAGAGGGCCGTAAACAGTGATGTTCAACGTGCATGGGACCTGTCCTGGACCCTGCTTTGCTTTGCCCTTAGATGGATATTGGTCCAGGGCACATGTCCCGCGCGCAACCACAGATGGGTCATCAAGCAGCCCCTGAATGACCCGGCCATGCTCGGACTTTATTTTGCCTCGAACAGCACTGCCGGAGACGGCCTCGAATTTGTCAAACGCCAATATGGAAATGTCGAAGCATTGCCCTTTGTTCAGGCACAAATCGCAACGGCCGGTAATGCCCGCGATCTAGCTTGTGTTTAAAGTTAGAGGAGAAGCTGCTGCTGGAGTTACTCGTAGGTGTTGGACGCACCATGCCGAAGCAAACCGTGAGTGCCTGGTCGGCCTTTGGCTGGGCTGGCCCGGATGTTCCTTCTGCCGTCGGTGGCAACGCTTCCATAACCGAGGGCCCTTGTACCCCTGGATGGTACAAAGCATTATCTTCGGCCAAGATCGGGGGCACGGGCGGGGGGTAGTCGTAGGGAAAGGGGTCCGCCGGCGGCTGTGAAGGCGTCCCAGATGGATGGAAGATGGTCCCGTGAATATTTTGCGCTAATTGAACTGGTGGCTGGACGGCTTCGGTGCGTGGGAATCCCTCCCGGTCATCGTCGACCTCCTCGACGCGCTTTCGTTTCATACTGGGGCGAGAAGAGTTGTCCATGGCGAGCTGGTCTTTCTCCCTGCGCCCAGAAATGGGTCACTTCCGAAAGAGAAGTCCGCAGTGTTGAAAGAAAAAAAAAGAAAAAGGAAAAAACCCTCCGCTGCGACTCCCGCCAGCAGCGCGTAGGTGCGGCGTTAGTTAAGCTAGAAACCCAACCCGGGAGCAGCCTGCCACCCCAGTAATTATCAGCTGAGAGGGCGGAGCAATTGCTTCAATCGACGAACCAGCGAGTGCCGAGTGTCGGATAGGGGCGGTGTCACAACCAGACTCGGGTTGGGTGTGGCGTCGCTCATCGGCATGTAGAAAAACTCGGGCGCATATTCCGATCATTCTATTGGAGAAGTCAGTACCGTAAGTAGAGCTGAGTGCCCGACAGTGGCGCCAAGATTGGAGCTCAGCAACCATCAGCTCACACCACTGCAATCCGCTTACGCCCGGCTTGTAAGGGGCCGGCCCGGAGCCCATGCTCTACCCCGCACCCCCTGGGTTCTCTCAGTCTTCCTCTTCCGTATCGTAACATACCTGAGTCCCAGTTCAGAGACGCGGGCAGCACAGCTCCTTCCCGCGCGGTGTCGCCAAGATGCCGCTGCGTCCGGCGCCGTCGGCCTTCGCTGGGCAGACTATGAAGAAGGCCTACGACGACCTTAAAAAATCGCTCGACCCGACGCATTCGCGCGATTTCCAAAGCATTGACCTTGCCGATGTCCGCAAAGCAGCGACGGAGCTTGAGGAGCAACTCGCCGCCCGGCAATCGCTCCGCAACTTGCGGCGCCTGGCGCCCCTCCTCGACGCCTTGGAGCGCTACTCAAACGCCGCCGAGTCGCTATGTCGCGGCGCCCCCTACTTGAAGCTGCTTTGGGCTCCTCTCACGGAAATCCTCCGGGCGTCATCAAACTTGACCGAGGCCTTGGAAAAGATCCTCAAGGGGTACTCGGAGCTCGCATGCTCTCTACAGTCGTTCCAGCTTCTCGGGCATGCCTTTAGGGATAACGCCATCTTCCAGGATACGCTTGCAGTCATATACGCCAATATCCTTGAGTTCCACAAACATGCATACATCTACGTGCATAGAACTGGTAGGTACAGGCTCCCCGCTTCCCGGCGACTCCATGTCTAACTGGTCCAAACCCAGGGTGGAAACTACTCTTCATGAGCTCCTGGGGCCGCTTTGGACACCGCCTTAGCGGAATTCTCGAGGATTTAAGGCGCCACCGCGAGCTTCTGGAGTCCAACGCAAAGGCACACGACATTTTCGAAGCTCGAAGGATGCGCGAGGACATGCGGACGTGGCGAGAGGAGCACTTGGAAAGCCTTAAGCAGGCCGAGCAGGAAAGATCCGCCAAAGATTTCTTGTCCATCACCTCGGCGCTTAATATCGATGAGCAGGACCAGCTCTCGATATTCCACGAGGTTTCTTCTGAAGGCGAAAAGTATCCGGGGACTTGCGCTTGGGTGACCTCCCACCCGTTAATGAAGTCATGGCTCCGGCGAACCCCAGAGACCCCCATGTTGTGGCTGAAAGGACCTCCAGGCTGGGGCAAAAGCACCATTTCCGCCCGCCTCGTCGCCTTTTTGAGGGCCGCCAATATACCCGTCATCCACCACTTTTGCACGTATCTATTTGCCTCCTCCACCAAGCTCGACCAGATACTCCGGTCCATACTCCTCCAGCTCCTTCGCATCGATTCGGAGATGGTTTCCCACGTCTACCATCTCTTTGTACAGCAAAAGAAGCAGCCCTCCATTTCCGCCCTCGAACAGCTCCTCCTGTCGTTGCTTGAAGGCATGACCAAGGATGCGGAAAACGCTGGGTATATCTGGATCATTCTGGATGGCGTCGACGAGTGCGCCCAAGAGAAGATGTCGACACTCCTCAGATTGATGAAGCGGATCACCTCCAAATCTTCTACGTGGGAGAATGTTACCGTTAAGGTCCTTATTTCCAGTCACGCTTCTTACGCCCTAACCACCGGGCTTCGACATTGTCGGACATTGTCTCTTGGAGATGAAACAAGCTCGTTGCACGACGCCATCCATGCATACTCGACTCAAAGACTTGGCGTCGTCCACACCCGGTTGGCACAAATCGGCGTTACGGACGCTGATATTGCCGAGCTCGCAGACGCTGTGGCTGCCCGAGCAGACGGTAAGCTTCTAGGGTCCGCCATGTCTCTTTTTCCGAGACGCCAAAATCGAGAAATGCGGAAAGCAGAGAGTTAACCACAAAGTATATTCAGGAATGTTCCTTTACGCCCGGCTGGTCTTGGACCACATCACCGCCAAAATTTTCTTTTCTCCCGACGAAGTTAAACGTTCCGTGGCTGATCTCCCAGACAAGGTAACCAAGTTGTAAGTTTCTCGCATCCCAAAACTCTCAACGCTTGCTTGGGCTAATTGAGCACTCTTAACATTTATTAGCTACCAGCAAATACTGACACGGATCCTTAACCGCCTGGACGCTCAGTCAGTGGACCGCATCAGATGCGTGCTGGGATGGATTGCTTTCGCGAAGCGACCTTTGAAACTCCTCGAACTACTTTCGGCAGTCTCCTTTAGTGCCATGGATGCTGCCGTTGAATACCTTGCCCCGAGGTACCTTCTGGACGAATGTGCCGCTTTCGTGGTGGAGCGGGGCGACACCACCTTTACCTTCATTCACGCGTCGATCAAGGAGTAAGAGTCCCTCTAGATGACCACAAATTAGGTTAACCTAACGGCAAAGTACAGATTTCTCGAGGGCCCTGCATTAGGGCTCGTTATCCGCGGGCAAGACGTTGTGCTAGAACACTGCCGAGCGGCCACATCGTGTTTGATCTCAGGCATGCATGTGTTTAGCAAGGAGTATCAAGAGAGCGCACGAAATATCCGAGTTGTCAAGGGCATTCACGGGTTTCATCTGTACGCCACAGAGCACTGGCTTGATGACCTCCTGTCAATCGGCACGACGCCAGAGCCGGCGGTTTTACGCACCCTGCAGCTTGTCCATCAGCTGGTGTTGCGGCTGGACGAGACCTATGGAATTTCGGCGCCATCAGAAGCGGCCCAATCGAGGCTTGTTACCGTTGACAAGCGACTCGTTGCTTTGCAGCAGTACCCAAAGCTATACCACTGTGCCTTGAGCGCCCTTGAGGCAGCGTCGCTCGACAAACTGGAGTTACGAATCCTTGCCAACTCTGAACCAGTGGCTGGAGATGAAAGTCCCCCTGGCCTGGGGATCAAAGACGGCATCTCGAAGCTTCTTTCTTCATACCAAGCTACCACTCGGTACCTCCTCTGCCAACACGCTGTTGAAGGTGTTTCTGCCGACGAGCTTAAGCTCTTCAAGGAACAGTTTGGGAGCTCCGCCTTCACTTGCCGGCTGCGAACATGTCCTCACGCGACTCTGGGCTTTGAGTCAGAGAGCGACCGCGAGCACCATGAGATGGCACACGTCCGGGGAGTTCGTTGCTCTGTCCCGGGATGCCAATATCTTCCGTTCAGCTCTACGATAGGGCTGCAGAAGCACATCCGTGAACGCCACGAAACATCAAGCGGCAGAAGGACAATCCGACGAGCGCCTCGACTACAAACACAGCGTAACCAAGGAGAAACCGGATCCTCATCTCGTCGGCCGAACGTCGGTGAGAAAACAGCGATAAATAATACGGTAATTTCCTCCCGCTGTTTGAACTCATTCGTTTGCCGATATGCTTATTGACATCTGTGTTTTTTAGGATCACCATGCCTCGCCCCAGCCACCGCTGGGGCTGGCCGGGCCTCCGCCCCCTCCTCCCCCGCCGTGGTCGCAGCAGACTCAGCAGCATCCCCAAGCCCCGCCGGGTCCGGGAAACTTCCCCGCGCAGCCGCCGCACCCGCCCCAGCCGGGCAACTCACTGGGCGATCTTAACGTCGAGCGCCTTCCCGCCCATTACAAGAAGTTGCGGGATGATTGGTTCGTTATTTTTAACCCTAACGTGCCGCGCATCCTCGACGTGGATCTTTTCCACACGCTCCAGCACGACAGCGTCGTGTGCTGCGTGCGGTTTAGCGCCGACGGCAAGTACGTCGCTACGGGCTGCAACCGCTCCGCTCAGATCTTCGACGCCGCGACCGGCGAGAAGCTTTGTATACTGCAGGACGAAAACATCGGTGACGTGTACATCCGTAGCGTTTGTTTTAGCCCCGACGGCAAATATCTAGCCACCGGTGCCGAGGATAAGCTTATCCGGGTAAGTTGAAGCATGTGCATTTTTGGGTTAAGTAACGCAGTTAAGCGCTAACACGCAGAGCAATACAGGTTTGGGATATCCAGTCGAAGCAGGTTCGAACCCAGTTCTTAGGCCACGAACAGGAAATTTCTTCGCTCGATTTTGCACGTAACGGTCGCACCATCGCATCTGGCAGCAAAGACCGGACCGTTAAGCTTTGGGATATTGAAACTGGCGGCAACGTGTTAACGCTAACTCTCGAGGACGCCGTTACCTCCGTTGCGATCTCGCCCGATACCAAATATATAGCGGCCGGAAGCATGGGGAAAAGCGTCCAGGTTTGGGATTCCCAAACCGGGTTCCTCGTCGAGCGATTGGAAGGCCCCGATGGACACAAAGATGGCGTTCATAGTGTCGCCTTTTCTCCCAACGGCAAGGACCTCGTTAGCGGCAGTTTGGACAAAACCATAAAAATGTGGGAGCTTGCCAGCCCTCGCGGAATGCCGATCCCGGGCCCTAAAGGTGTTCGTTGCGTCACAACTTTGGAGGGACACAGGGTATTATCTCCCCCATATTTTTGCCTTTCTCCGGCCTCAACCCTAGCCTGTTGCATGTCACTAACGCTTGGTGCTTCTGCGTACAGGATTTCGTGCTAAGCATCGCCTTAACTCCCGACGCCCAATGGGTCATGTCTGGCTCCAAGGACCGCGGTATGCAGTTCTGGGACCCGCGGACTGGTAGCACCCAGCTGATGCTTCAGGGCCATAAGAACTCTGTCATCTCGGTCGCGCCTAGCCCCGCGGGCGGTTACTTTGCCACAGGCTCGGGCGACATGCGCGCCCGCATCTGGTCATACAACCGCTTAGGACACGGCGTGTAGTAATATGCTGTCGTACGGTGCGGTATGTTGCAGCCAGTTAGTTTTGCAATGGTGGGGTTTGGATTTGGGATAACTCTAGGGGCAAAAATCAAGAGCAAGAAAAAAATATAAAAAAGAATGTTTCGGCGTATACACAAGAGAAAGGGGAGTGTTATATTACCCCGCGCGTATTATTATTTAACCCCGTGTTTATCCGTGCACACGTGCGAGCATCGCCGCACACCGTCCCACAAGCCAAATTAAATGTACCCAAATGGCGAGGAATATTTTTCCATATTAATTACGTTAATTTATAAAATTAATAATTTAATTCCCCGTATTGCACGGTTGCTAGCACGGCCGTTCCTTTTTGCACCGGTTAACAAGCAAATCCAAGCATAAATCCAGCTTAGGCCGAACCCATTAAAAGCCCGCTTTTTTTATTAAAGCTTAATCCTTTAAAAAAAAAATTCCGCTTTTTTAATTTTTGCAATAATTTTAATCCTTAATACCAAAAAAATCGGCGATTTTTATTAATCCGGCTTTATTTTAGTTAATAATGCTTTTTAACGCTATTTAACTTTCGCGCAATAAAGCTTTCGATGCTTTAAAAACGCGCGCGCACGCGGAAAGCTATAGCTTAATGCTAAAAAATAATTACCGAAATAAAGCTTTTAACGAAATTACCCGCACCCAATTGCAATGCGCTAAAACGGGCATTTTTAACCCAACCGCTTCCGTTAAGCATATGCACAAAGTAAAAAAACGTAAAACAAGCACGAAAAAAACGAATTGTACTTGGCAAACGGCTTTCCGGCGTACGGCCAACGGTTAAATCGAAATCCGGCTTATTAACGTTAAATACAACCACTTTTTCGCTAACAACCTTGCCGCTTTTTTAAGCTTTAAGCGTAAGTTTTTGCAAGTTTAGGATGGACGGATTTTTGCTTTTTGGAAAGCGGGCTTCCGTCCGGCAGCGATTATAACGAGCTTTAAAGCAAAGGAAAAAATAAAAATTTTAAGGTTAATTTCCAAAAAAGGGATTTGTACAATTATTTGCAAGTTTAACGGAAAAGCGAATTGGCTAGGCGCACGCTAATTTAATAACTTTTCGATATAATTTCCCAGCATGCTATACCTTTTATTAATTAATAATGTTAATTTAGCTTTATGCTTTATTTTTTTAATAATTAAATAATTTAACGGAAATTTATTATCGAAATTGGCGTAGCGAAACCAGCCGCATTAAACGATTATTTTTTGCATTTTTTTCCGTTTTATGTTACAGTTAAGCCTTTGCTCCTAAAGCAAGGTTGGGAATTAAGTTAGTAAGTTAAGTTACTACCGTAACTTTAACTTACTAAAAAAGTTACGGCGGTAACTTTAACTTATTTTAACTAACTAATAACTTACTTAAGTAACTAAATTAGTTAATTTAAGTTATTGCTTTTTTATTACTTTTTTAATTATTAATTTTATTGTTATTTTATTACTTTTATTATTATAATTTATTTTAATTATAAATTTATTTTACTTTATTTATATATAAAGTAATTTTTTTAAAAAAAATCGCAAAAATATGCAAAAGATTATGTGAATTTATGAAAAAACTTATGCAAAAATTAACTTAAAATGATTAATTAAGTTAATTAAATAAGTTAACTTTTTTTAAGTAAGTTATTAGTTAGTTACACCGTTACCTTTAACTAACTTACTTACAAAAGTTATGAATTTAACTTATAACTTTTAACTTAATTCCCAACCCTGTCCTAAGGTAAGGCACCAAAGGAGTACCAAGCTGTAGCACGTAACTAAACGATTAAAGGGATTTACAAAATAACTTGGGTACGGTTTAAATGCTTGCTCCAAAGGATACTTGGAAGCAAATTTAAATTAACTAATGCCGAAGCCTTAATTAAAAATTATTTAAAACAGTAAAAAACCCTTCCTTTTTATATTCGGGCCATTTAGTTATAAATACCGTAAATGGCTTTAATTATAATAATTAAAGCTAATAGCATTAATTGCTGCTAATTACTTTTGCTGCTTGTAATTAATTTATCCCCGTTTAATTATTACTAATTAGTTCTTAACCCAGATGTTACGTAATTTACCCCAACTTGTTTCCTTTTTGTTAAGAAAGCGGGGTTTGCCGCCTTTTTTGGGCTGTTAATTGTAACATTTTAAAGCTATTTGCAATAGCGCCCAACGTTATTGCATTTAATTATACGTATAAAACTAATAAATTTAATTTTTTTATGCTTATTATATACGGCATTTTACTTATACAAAAAAGCTTTTTTTTCGCTACCGTATTGTTACGAGCTGGAAGCCCGTATAGTAACTTTGGCTATGCCGGAGCTACGCCGTTACAACCGGGCAGCAATTTCGTAAAAACTTTAGCTATACCTGCAACGCTACATCGTAACGCCCCAGCAGCAACCCACTGGGGAATTGGGTTTTTTTTCGCGAAAAGGGATTTAACCAAAAGCTTTTTTTTTTTTACCTTTTGTAATAATATAAATTCCTTTTAGTTGCATTTAAGCGTAAATTGTTAGCGTAAGCCTTTTATATATGTTAAATAACGTGGGGAAGTGCAAAGTAAGTGCAGGGTAAGTACAAGGTAGCATTTTACATAACTTGTTAATTTCAACAATACTTTTAGCTTTTGCTGCAGCAAAAAATTGGGAAGTTAAACAAATCGATTTTATTAAAGCGTTTTTAAATAATAATTTCGATGTAAAAATTTACTTTACGATTTTAAAAAGGTTTAGTAAATGAGTAGCTTTTGCATTAATTAAAATAAAAAAATAATTAAGCAATTTAGTTATAACCTTGTTAAAAATTAAGTAATTTTGTTACAAAAAGCATTGTACGGTTTGAAACAAAAGCTTTGTAAATGGTAAAATAAGCTAAAAAAAAACCTTTTAACGATAAAGGATTTTTTGCTTTTATTTTTAATTTAACGGTTTATTTTATTGCTATTTAAAGCACTTTATAATTATTTTTATAAACGATTGTTTAATTATCGGGCTTAATATTAAGTTTATTAGCACTTTTAAATAAAATTTACATAAAATGTATGCGTTAAAAAGCCGCGGGCTTGCAAGTTACTTTTTAAGCGTTTAAATCGAAAAGAATATGCTTAAACAGCTTTTTTGCATTTATTAAAACTAATATATTAAAAAAATGCTTGCTATTTTTGGCTTGCAAAATTTTCAAACCTTTAATATGCTTTTATAACCGGATGTGCTAAATAATATTAGCAAATTTTTTGTAACTTTAATTAAAATTAAATTTTTACAAAGGATTATAAAAACCGTTATGTACTTAATGCTGTTAACCCGCCCGGATATTGGTTTCGCTGTTTAATGGATTTTACGCTATTTAACAAAGCTTACTAACATTTACATTAACGTTGCAAAAAACTTATTAAAATATTTAAATAGCACTTAAAACTTAACCATTTAATATAGCAAGCTAAAAAGGTTAATGTTAATAAACTTTGTAAATGTTAAAATAACGGGGAATTTATTAATATTAATTGGATTTAACGATAGCGATTTTGCTAAGGATAAAAATATTTCAAAATTAATTAATAAGTTTGTTTTTACATTAACTTAAAGTTTTATTAATTGGAAATGTAAAAAAGTTAGCATTATAACTTATAAAATTGTTAAAGCAAAAACCAACGGTTTAACAAAAACCCTTTAAAAAGTAAAATGGTTAAAATACTTATTTATAAAATTGCGATGCTTTGTAAAAGGTTTTATATGTTGGAACCCACTAAATAAGCGCATGCACGGGATTTACGGAATTTATAAAATCCCCATGCACAAATCCATAATTTGTGCATAAAGCTATTAAAGCTCCTTTGTCCTTTATATAAAAAGGTTAAATCCGTCCTTTTTTTTAAGCAAAATTCTTTCCATTTTAAACTTAAATACAACATTTTAACTTAACTTACTTTTTAATAATTATTAAAGCTTAATTTTACGCTGTTTAAAGCTCCGCGAGCAAAAAACTCCACCCCCAAATCCTTTTTACATTAATTAATATTGCGAAAAGCAATACAAAAAAGCTAGGAAAAGGGTCCTTTAATTAATTATATTAAGTAAAAGATTTAAAAGCAAAAAATTATCGGTTTAACGCTTAATAGCGCATTTTTTATTTACTTTCGGTTACAAAAGTTAAAAAAGCATTAAAAAAGGGCGCTATGTAATTTCCCAAGCTAACATTTTAACCCGGCTTTAAATAACTAAAACAAATTGCTTTAAATAATACCACTTACCATCCTTTTTACTATTTTACTATAAAAAAAGGAAAATCCTTCGCTTAAGCAATTTTTAATACACAAAATTAAAGCTTAAAAAATACAAAACCAATTTGCAAAAAATAAGCATTTTATGCAAAAAAAGTTATTAACGCTTTAAATTTACTTTTAAATTTATTGTTAATTTTCCATTTCCTTTTTTAACCATTTTAATTACAAAATTGCTAAGCAATTAACAAGCGCTTTAACAATTGCCAAAAATACATGGATTATTAAATAAATGTATAACAACCGGAAGGAGTTAAATCCTAACAATACATTAAACAATTTTAAAAAAAACTTTAGCAAATGGTTGGAAACGGATTTTAACGCGGTAAATTTAACGATTTAACGATTTTTGCAAAATTATTTCCGAAAGCAAAAGCTTTATTTCTTTACTTTTAACTTAAAAATATTAAGCAAAAGGTTAGCGGATATTTTTATTTAGTTACAAACTTTAAATGCAAAGCCAAACTTTACGCTAAACTTAGCGTTACAATTATTTAAAGCTTAAAGCAAAAAGTTAATAAAATTGCCATTTCCGAAATTTATGCTTCCCCGGTAATTACCGCCCAAAACGTTCCTTTAACCAATTAACATAACGCAAAAAGCGGTAAAAAACGAACAATTACCAAAAGCATAATTTAAAGCGCAAGCAAGTTAAAAAACAAATTCCTTAATAATTTTTACAAAAGCATTAAGCAAAACAAAATTAGCTTTTCGTTTAAACCCCCAAATTACGTCGTTTTATATTTAACCGAAGCGGTAATATACTTTTACGAAAAATCGTAAAAGCACAACCTTATTACAACCATTTTAACTTATACAATTATAACAAAAATACCCATTACAAAACGGAAAATAAAAGTACGAAAATTTCGTAATTAACGTTTTATAACGCAAATGTGTTATAAATC